ACAGTTTTCTACCAAGACTGGCCTGCTGTATGGGTATACCCAGGACAAAAAGCTAGCTGAACAGGGGGAATATGTTTGGTATTATACAGCCGTGGACTTTGATACTGGAGATGTTGTTTGGGAGCAGCTCGCTGGGGTTGGGGGGGTTTACAATAACAACTTTCAGCATGTCCTAGTTTCACCCAGTGGCGCTATTTATGTGCCGGTTATGGGGGGTGTTGCTTGGATGAAGGACGAGTAGTCCTGGAATACGGTACCTTCTTCATCAGAGCCTGATGTCCTGACACACTGCTCATTGGAGTCATGGAAGCTAACCTCAATTACTCAATGCCACCCATTCAGAACTTGAACGATGTCTCCGGTTCCCAGATCTTGCATAGCAGGATGCCTTTATAGCCACCCATCAAACAACCCCCATCGCTTTACTGAGGTAGACTCTCCATCACTTCTCTTCCCGGTTGACTCACTTCCATAAATATTGAATTCCTGTGGCCCTTCAGCATAAATATGATAACCAAGGCTACATTCTGAGAATGACACCTTCGGTTGGTTAGCGTAAAATTCATCAAACCCCGAGTCCAGTGCCTCGGCTAAGCTATTCACATAGCCCTTCGGGTGCAGCTGACGCCATGGCTCGCGGCAGGAATCTCCATTGCAGGATTTCAGAACCATCATCAACGCATCAAGACGAGGAATGATCTGGCCAAGGTGACGGTTGGCAATTGTGTAAGATTCATGGGCGTTGATGTTAGAAGCCAAGTTGGTAGTTTGAAGGGGATCATCCTAATTCATAGGTTAATATCTGCAAGGTAAGTGCGATTTGGCTTGGGGCTAGGTACCTTTAGATTGTAGAATTCTTTGTCATTGGTGCACCAGACTGAATAGTACACACTATAGTCGTCCGAGACAAGGCGAAGTCCCTTGTAGGTGTTGTTTCTATAGCTATTGCCTGGCTGGCTGTTATTGTCGCTTTTGTAGCCATATATGCCTTCGGGAACGGCCTGCAGATGTTTCAGTTAGTCTATTGGCCATCATAGAGCCGCGATGACATATGAGAAGCTCACAATTCCCCAGTATTCGATCGCTACATGCTCCGATTTATTATCTGCGTTGCCAGCATCGATGGTAGTCGGGATCTTCTTTCCATCTAGACCATCTCTCGTCGTGCCTGCAATGGACAGGAAAGTGGGCGCAAGATCAGTGTGGCTAGTGACGACCTCAATTGTTTTGTTCTGGGGGACACCAGGACCGCGAACGAATAAAGGGATGTTGATATCCGTTTCTGTGTTGTGTTAGCATACCTTCAATCTAAAGATCAGAGACGATCATGACCGTGCAAACTCACCATATCCACAGTTCTTGCCTGGCTGCATGGCATGCTGCCCGATATGGTACCCATTATCTGTCGAAAAGAAGATGTACGTATTATCAAGAACGCCTGCCTTATCAAGTTTTTCAAAGAGCTCCCCAATCATCTCATCAACGGCCTGCAGTGCCCGCAGCCGACACCGCTGAAACTCATCGATATAGTTAATTTCCTCCTGGGTGAGCGTCGGCAAGTCAGCAACCCACCCAACAGCCCCATCGATGATCTTGTTGAAACTCTCGTCCCGGGGAATCTTATAATCTTTGAAGAGCTGCGCATGACGTGGCGCATACTCCGGCTCACCAAACCAAGTCGCCCCCGTCACTGCATCCTGGGATCCGTTTGAATGGGGCGCGTTTGGGGCAATGGTAAGCATCCAGGGCCGATCCGGGTTCGCTAGCGCTTCGTCCAGGAAGCCCAATGACTTGTTTTTGATTACATCTGTCGAGTATTGGCCAGCGTAGCTGACGGGCTTCTCCCCGTTACGTGTCATTTTGGCGTTGTAGTACCGGTAGGTCCATGGGTCGAGCAGGAAGTCAGAGCCATTGAACCCCTTTGCGTAAGGCTTGTTGTAGTTCTCTTCCGTATGTGAATTCCAGAGCTTGCCCACGTAGTAGGTATCGTAGCCGGCCTCTTGCATCCAAATTGGTAGGTAGTTGTCGTTCCACCCCGCGCTGACTACCTTGGGGTATCCACCGTATGGTAAGCCAACGTCAGTAATGTTGGTGTTGTGCGGCATGCGACCTGTCCAGAGGTTGGCTCTGGATGGACAACATAGTGCTACAGAGCAATAGTGCTTGGGGTATGTTGCTCCTTTTTGAATGAGGTTTTCCTGTAGTTTCTCGGTTAGCTCCCATATCGTGCTATTGTTTATCTAATTCAGAATAGAAGCAGGGACAGCAAAATGTTTAAGGTGTATACACACTTGTAGTTTAGGCATGTGGTCCAAGCCACCAACGAGTTTTCCCTGGTCATCTGTAAGGATAAAAAGAATATTAGGCTGTTTGGCGGCCGTCACAAGGCCCCAAAGCAGCCACGTTCCCAATATGATCTTCATCGTGACTGAGACACGGGACTAGTCCGCTTTCTTGGTCTACAGGGCTTTGGTGTTGTATTAAACGGTGAGATAAACGCCCTATTAGTTCCAAAGCCCCGAGAATTCTGCCTTATTTATGTCGCCTTCTCGCCATCATACAATCCCCGCAGAGACCTCGCGCACCGCTTCCGCACAGCATACTCTGTGGAGTAACCCATTTTGTGCAATTACCCCACAGTATTGCATCGTTCGAATTCAGACTGAGGAATTGCCGAATGATCCGCTAAAATATCGCGTAACGACAGATCATCGAGTAGCGCAGAGGGAAAAGCGGAAAGGCAGGCAGCTTTTCAAGGAAAATGTTGACTGTCAACGGACGATCAGCACGGAAGTATAGAAAGATCTACATTTTGCCGAGAAAAATACGGGGCGAGATCGATGTTTATGGAGACTGTGGTGAATTGCGAAATTTTGAGGCCGATGATGCTAGAGGACAAGAAATGGTATAATGGCGGGTCCGCATCACGTCTTCAATCCTCGGTAGATCGAAAAAGCATACCGCAAGTGTGGTGAGGGTGCTTAGGGCTGTTGATCTGTCTTGATAGAGTAGGGCGGGAGTCGATCATGGTGCCATTCAGGACTGTATCTCTTTGGAGGTCATTTCTCTCCTCTCGCTGCAACTATGGTGGTGAGCTATGATAACGTGTATTAGTTTTGCCCAATATCTTAGATAGAAAGTAGTTTTGTAACATAAAGGTACCAACAATGGAGTTTTGCAGTCAAGGTTATACCCCGTGGTCGATAAGCTTCACACAAGCCTGTGCCAAGCTAGCTCCACAACTGGCTCTTGGCTTTACAGACTCCAACATTAGGGCCAACATGTGGTTCTGTATATGTCCACTGGCTGTTTAAACTACGATGTAAGGACAAGGTGAACATGCTTCCTGTTTCAAAATCCCAGCGTGAGCGTCAGAACTTCATTGGAAAGATCAGATAGTAAAAAAGATTGGATATGACAGATTTACCTAGAGTCTAGCCCGACGAATGTGTATGTACGTGATCTGTGCTACCGAGCGCAATGTATATGAATAAAACCGGTGAATGAAGAATAGCATGTCTCATGGGACATGAATATTATCACTTGTCATCATTGTAGCACATCAACATAAATCTAGTTCTTATTCGTAGCTTCCATCCCTCCCCCGGGTCTCTCCCATTGTAGTATATTCGGTGCTTCCAAATGTTTAACTCAATTGTCATACGTGAGAAGGCATTTTTCAATATGCATTTAGAACGGCGTAGGTGAGTCGGGCTCCGCTCGCGAATTTGCAACACGTGGTAGCTCCATACAGATTTTCTAGTGCAGGCAGACTTGTATACCAAGGCAAGTGACAAATAGAAATATACTGTCGATAGTGACCTACAGCCGAACGTGTAGGCAGTTACAAAACAACTGTGCACTAAGTAGATGTGGCTTGATGGCCAATTCCGAGAGATGATTATAATACGCAAATATAGATATCGCGTAGTAAGCTACGATGTAACCGCGCTCTTCGCCTACTTCCTCTTGATTTGAGTGGTACCTTGGTACACTCATTGCATCCATGGATTCTAGAACTCTCCGCCATGCTCCCTGTCTATCAGAGGTGCGTCGTGGTCGGGATTCTCGCCCGGTGCCAAAAGGGGGATGCGGACCAAACATCCATGGATAACTTAGGAAAGGGCGGTCCAGAATCGCTAAGACTATAGTCATGATTCTACAACGTCTCAGGGACCTCTAGTCGTCGGCTGTTACAGGCATACCCTGCAATCAAGCCATCAATGGGATCTGGCAAGCCAATACCAGACGGCATCTTGGCTCAGTGACCTGACAGCAGTCAAGGCGTTCTCGTCAAAATAGCCTGAACAATAGCAGATGCCCTCATCCTTGAAAAATATTCTGTACGCCAAGTAGTGCTCTGAAACATATCCCTTTCATTTCCTAAGATGTTTGGCATCGCCAGAAATACCGCATAAGAACTGGAAAGATACTTGTCATCGCTGAATGACTCCCTAGAGCATTTATAACGAAGAAAGAGCTGGTATTAAGGGGTTGAAGGTTGTGTGAGGTCGGATAACCGAGAAGACTCTGCCGGGAGTCTTTATTCGGGCCACCTTTGTTGATGCTATCACTGAACAAAGGAGCACCATGTCTAGCATTATGGCAGATTCTTACACCCTTGAGCCGGGCAATCCGGGCGCTTTCTAGTACGTGTTACTAACAGCAGTCATTGAATCCTATTAGCGGGCCCTCTCCATGCTCCACATCCAAGTGCTGTACGTTAAACAGAAACAAACAACTACCTCGAGTTCCTGAAAGATGCCAGAAACATTCCTTTGTTATCACAGGGCCCGGTATCCTTGCGACATAATTAATTCCAAATACATGAGCAAAATCAGATTCTTTTGCCGTTTGTAGCGGGTTGCACGGGATATAAGGATCATTCGCATGCTGGTTGAGATGAGCTTTGAGCAACACAGGGTCTTGATGCTTCTGTCAATGTGAAGCGATTCATGCGATTGCTCTTTTCTTCTCCTTTGCCTTCTTCTCCAGTTAATATGCCATCTTCGTCTGGATCATTCCGGGCCATGCTAGTGGCTCTATGGCTTATTTTCGCTCTTTTACCCGGCTTTTCTGACGGCCATTCGAGGTCTATCGGACGTCGTAGACAGTTCAAGAACTCATCACCGCCCACTAAAGCATTGTCGCTCTGTGGGCCAAACTGTCCCTCGTGCGCTGTCAGCTTAAACGCTCCACCCAAACTTTCGACTGCTAAAAACGGGGCAAAGGGTGGATCACTACCTAAGCGGGTGCTAGCAAGACCAGAGGATGAGGATTTCGGAGGGGATGTCGAATCGTTCTTGGTGAGCCAATACATGAGAGCGGATTGGGTTCCTCATGGTAACCAGGGTCTGCCATCAGCTCTGTTCAAGGAGTTAGGAAATAAGAAGTTCAATTTGGCAGTGCGCGATCTATGGGGATGTGCCTCGGTGGTAGTGGTTTCAGAAAAGGGGATATGGATGTCGCATATCTGGGAAAATCCCTCATTCGGTAGAGAAGTTCTATGTAATGGATGGGCGCCCAGTGAGGACAACGTCTTTATAAACACTGTCCTCAAACCACTGGCCGATGGCAATGAACAGATGCCTGGCCTGACACAGTTTACGCAGGGCAATGGTGCATTCATCGCTGAGTATAAGCCATTTGCTTATATCTTCTACCCGTCATGGTCCCGATACGCTCAGTATGACCGTGTATATACGGCTAGGATCAATGATATTAGCCACAAACTCGAACGGCTCCTTCCACTGAGCGTACCACCTCTCATTTACCAATATGACCGCGCTGGAGGCGATCTCCTGTCATCAAAAGGAAAGGTTCTGTTTCAATACGAGCCTAACGAAAGAGTGTTACAGACCAAGAATGGCCCACTGCAACAGGCTGTGAATCGCATATAGTTAGAGAATCGACCTATGTATGTTCATCAGAGATACTGGCCTGCCTGGCCCCTGCAGAGGTCTGCTGGCAATGCCAATGCGAAACGGGATACCTCGCCTAGTCCGACGATTGGAACACCGGATTCAATACCAAACGTGACGCTTAGTCGTCCGGAGACTACGGTTACGCCCCAGACCATCCCAGCTCTAGATAGATTGGCCATCGACGACCGCAGTGAAGACTTCTACTGCAACTCGGAATGAGACACCAATCGCGTCACCAGTGTCTGAGGTCCAGCTGGACAGTCACATCAACAGTTAGTCCACTGCCGAGCGCAATCCCTGGGTGGGCAAAGAGTTCAACATCCAGCCCAACAGCTGGTTATACATGTACTGCAGCATGTGGCAGTTTCAATAACTAGACTGCAGTCTCCGATGACGAAAACTATAGAATCGCAGCCACACCCCAATCGATAGTCGTCCTAGACATGGACAACATCCAACACAGACGAAATCCCTTCACTGTAAATATCAAGGATACAAACTATTATCCCCATATCGCCTTCTTCGAATTGATGGACGGTTCCAAAATTAGACATAAACTCAGAAAGATCAGAAATAAGCGGTGATCTACCGACTGGCGCAGCGCGACGACAGGGTCCGTAATAATTTACAGACATTGCTAACATTCCAGACCCATTCCCCTATAGAAACACGAATAGGGTGCAGCAAAGAGAGATAGATTATTGTGAGGCTAATGAATCGGTCTGTCGTCGTAAGCATACGACCTACATTATTATTGGACTCAGAAAATGGGACCAGCTCACGAGAGTATAACTAGTCAAGTATCTAGTAGACCTTCACACATAACCTTTTCCAACTAAAAATCCCACAGCAGTCCACCAGGCTGTAGTAAGACTCAGGGTCACTCACAGGTTACTTACACTCACACTGGGCCCAATTTCGGTCTGATTCCCCAACTCCTCCTTCAGCACCTTATCCCCAACGACTACTGGCTTGGTACCCTGTAGTATAAAAGCCATCCTAGTCCACTCCACCTCACTGGGGTTCCTCCATTCATGCATTGTTCCCCTCTGCACAGCAATATCTCCCTTCTTCAACAGATTCATCTCCCCCGAATCCAACCACATCTCAATCGATCCCTCCAGGACAATCCCATAATCCAAGCTCTGTGTCCGATGCATCAGTCCCTTGGTGCCTGACTTCGACGGTGCAAAGTCCACAACCCGGCACACGGTCCCACTGGGGCTAACTAAGCCCAGTTTGCCAGACGCTATCAAGGACTCGTGGGCGGCTAGATCGGCATCGCCGCTGAGTTCGGCAGGGAACTGGGAGGTTGTGAACGGGACATTGAAACGGAAGCTACCGCTGTCGTATTCTCGGAAGGCACTTTCCGTGGCGCTGTGGACTATCGCGGTACCGTTTGCGTCGTGGCCGGTGATGTAGCGGGTGAAGTTTGGGAGGGTCGGGGTGTTGTAGGGGTTATGGGATGGTAGGGAGGACATTCTGAGGCGTATTTCGTTCTCGTCGGAAATGCTATTCGGCTTTTCGAATGTTTTTTATTGCGCGATTTTGGGGGTTTCTTATGTAGTCAGGGCTGTTAAGTCGTCGTTAAAGGAGCTGAAGTGTAGTCAGATCTGAGCCACAGATTGGTTTTAAACCAGGAGGGGCCTCGGGAGTCCGTGGACTTTAAGTGCTATCAACCCAATCTAGGTTTGTGCACCGATCTTTTACTTTGCTGTGCAGCTTCCACTCTCAATCGGCCAATCGGTGTTGTCGTGATGAAGTGGCTTGCAGGATGTGACGTGGTGAGGGGTTGCGGAACGTTGGATATCTCAGGATGCAAAAGCGCCGATCTTCGTCATGACCCCGGTGGCATGATTGGTAATGTTTTATTTGTATATCAGGAGCGGTATATATTCGGTGTGCGAAGCATGGTTAGTACTGCTTGGTGGTTGGACATAAGCCTCCTTTTCGGCGTTTTAGTGGTGTTCTTACCTTGCTTCACATAGTTAGTACCACTATAGAGGCATAACATATACATATATAGCCTCTTTTTTACTAAATCCAGGTGCTATTCCCGAGGCCAGACGCTGAGTCTCACATCTTTTGAGCAAACCCCGTAGTAGCGTGTTTATATGCCGCCTCGTTAAGTCATTGTGGATTATACTAGACAAGCCTCAACTCTGAATCCTATGGCATTTGACCATGCGACTATTATTATTCTGGTCGCTGCTGGCGGATCCAAGCTACATTCGTTACTGTGGATCCGACACCCCATTGGGAACGTAGAGAACGCATTAACTCTAGTTCAATGAGCTTCCACGAGTTCCTCTATCCCATCCTCGATTGCATTTCGCTTCCGACTCAACAAGCGCGTAAGAAGGTCCGGATACAAGTCTAAATCGATAGTGACGCTCTGTGCTCTCCCTTGGCCCTCCGGGAATATGAATTCAAAGCAGATCAACATGCGTGCGAGGATCATTTCCATCTCATTGACAGCGTAGAACCGACCCGGGCACGCAACCTTACCATCCCCGAATGCGAGATTGTCGATATCGGTCTTCGCCATGGGGTATTTTTGTGCATTTGCAGGATTGTCTTGCTTCTCACGGATGCGGGAGTACCGGATAGCATCATAAGCAGAGGGATCAACACCGGGAACCTTGGCAGGATCCTGCAGGATTTCGTTTAAAGGCACCGCAAGGCGAGTTCCAACGGGCAGATGAATGCCGTTTGAGAGGGTGACTGTCCTGTCAGTGATCTGGTTCCACGTCACTGGAAGATATTGTTAGGTGGGGATTATGGAGTAGGAAAAGGAAAAGGAATACATAGGAATAGGGACTGAATCTCTGGGTCTCTTTCAGCAGGCTATCCATTTTGCTCATGTCTGAGTAGTCTTATTCCAGCCCTTGTGCTTCTGTAGAGTTTCGACTACCTCGTTTCTAAAGGGCTCAAAGTACTCAGAGTGTGCGCAAAGGTCATACATCGGTTGTGTCATTGTCAAAGTGGTGGTGTGAATAGATGTGACGCTAAGAAGCAGCATTCGCTGAGCGAGGTCGTTAGGCTCGACCTGTTCCCCAGTCGCGGCATCCATCATCCATTTGTAAGACATCGGCGGGTCTTTGGTGCTCTAAATCTACCCAGGCTTCCATGGCTCTGCGCTCGCGTACTATTCTTCCAATCACCCGTCGTGCGCTGTGCACGTTGCTCAGAAGCCTATAGTAGCTGGGAGGCAGGATCACCACGAAAGGACGCAAAAATCATGGAAAGAATCACAGAACCCATCCAGTAAGAACCATGTTTTCGGTATAATGTAAGGTGGCATCTATAGGCCTCGAGGACAAATCGATCAGGCGGTAGACCTAACTAGACAGGGTCAACAGGTCGATTGCATCACAATATGGATCGTTTAACAATAACAACATTGGAAATGGATGGTAGACTAGCAGGCATAGCAATTTGTACCACTTGATTAATTTATGTTCATCTCTTATACGTCCTATGTCCATCTACTTGACCCTGACAACAACCTTCCCAAAATGATTCCCACTCGCCAAAAACTTAAATGCCTCGTTGGCCTCCTCAAACGAAAACACCTTATTCACCACAGGCTGAATCTGATGTTTCTCATAGAACTTCACCGCTTCCTCGAACCGATCCTTGGGCCCGTTGATGATGCCCTTCAGCGTGACGTTCCTCCGCAGCGCCAGGAGGTTCACGTTGGTGCGGTCATCCGGCGCGTCCATCTTGCCGGAGACGTACCCGATGCAGTTGATCAAGCCGCCAAAGGCGACGGAGTCGAAGCTCTTCTTCAAGGTCTGGGCGCCACCGACCTCCAGGATGATGTCTGCGCCGTGGTTGTTGGTGAGACGCATTACCTCTTCTTCCCAGTTGGGCTGGGTGCGGTAGTTGATTGTGTAGTCGGCACCGAGTTCCTTGGCCTGGGCGAGCTTGGAGTCGGAGGAGGAAGTGATGATCACTGGGCTTATGTTAGCTAAGGATTCTTCTTGCAACTGAAGTCCTCAAAATATCGAAGGAATAAAAGACGAAGAGGAAACACACCCTGGGCACCGGACGCCTTTCCGATCTGCAGCCCCGAAATCGCCACTCCACCCGTTCCCTGCAGCAGGATATATTCTCCGTGTCCGCCGTTCTGTCCCATAGGCCGCATTCCGTTGATCGCCATCCATGCCGTCACGACTGCAATCGGCAGCGTAGCGGCCTGCTCATCGCTCATGTAGCTTGGCGCTTTGACCAGCGCATATTCCGGGAAGACACGGTACTCAGCCAAGACACCGTTGAGGGGCAGACCCATTCCCCGCGCCAGTTCCTTTTCCGTAACTTGACCGGTCTGGTGGTCTGGGAGGAAGGTGGAGAGAACGCGATCGCCGACTTTCCACGCGCTGACGTTCTCCCCGACCTGCGTGATGACGCCGCACATGTCGGAGCATGGCACAATGCTGGCTTCTTGTCCCACGGCCTTGTGGTGGGTGTACTCGCCATTCGTTACTGGGTGACCGTGTTAGATTCACAATTCTAACCCCGGCTGCAGGGTGCGCGAACCGTACCCTCTACGTCGCGGTAATTCAGCGACACGGCGTGGATCTCGACGAGGACTTCGCCCTTGCCCGGCGCAGGCTTGGGGGCTTCGGTGAGTTTGAGGGAGTCGAGTCCCTTCAAGGGAGTTGTCCACTGCTTGATTGAGGCCATCACAGGTTTTTTCGGCTGCAGAAATTTCCAGCTTCGTGACAAACGTGCAACTGCAGGGAAATTTCAACTTCGATCTTTGGGGAGAGAACCTTGGAGAATCTTTTTGGAGAAAATCTTTGGAGACGATTAATAATGTCCAGACGTCACCGATGGGGGTGCCCCACTGTGAAGAATGCCGAGATCCACGCCGCGATCCACCCGTATGGCACGGCATTTTGCAGAAGACATGGCGTGGGAGAATATGGTTGGTTGGATTGTGATATGCGACACGATCATGTGCGGTGTTTATATTCGTAGGTAAAGAGCGAAGATATCGTATAGGTTGATCCTTCGGCGGGGGGCCACCATACAAGAAAATGCATAATATATCGCGCATGCTGTGGAACACAAGTGCTATGCTGATCTCTGTCAGCCGTATTCCAATTGGCATTCAAGATACTGTGGCTTAGAGATGTAACATACCAATTTACGTCAGTCGAGGTTTCACAACTGCCAAAAGAAGGACTTGCAGCCAAACCCCCTCAAGGCCCTTCAGTGAAGGTTTTGATCCTCCTCATAATTCCGAATTGGGACTTCAAGGAAGTCCTCATCCTGGGGCAACTCCACCCCGTACTCCTTCAGAACTCCAGCGGAGAGCTTCACATCCCAGGCGTCGAACCCCGTGACGTGTCCTCCGGCGGTGCGATCGTCAGAGATGAAATGCAAATGAAATCCTGCAACATTGGAGCTATTGCTACAGCCAGGTGACCAGAATCCAAACACAAGGCCTGGAACATTGTGGACAGATTGGAGTTGCTGGCGTGTCGACAAGTCGGACGGCGACTGCCTGTCTCTGTGCGGCGCCGGCATGACTCGGAAAGCCACCTGATTGAACACGCCGTCCACACGAACTGAAAGAAAAGAGTGCTGTTCTGACGGGAGAAGAGGTGCGAGTGCCGTGTGTAATGTTGGCATTGCCAGCGAGGGCAGGCTCTTGGTCAGGGTTGGTTTGAAGTGGGTGATCATGATGTCGGGGAAGGTATCGGTTGCTTTCCACGTTGCGCGATTGATTCTCGGGAGTAAAGTGATATCCATGACCATCGAGCAATGTATTCCTCTCTTTAAATGAGTAACAGTTCCAAGATCATGGATGGTCGCCATGCGAAGTACTTGGCAGAAAGTGGACCAGGTGACCCGCCGAACCCTGCATAAGAACCTGGCCCATTGACACCAACCAAAGGTTCATGCACACTGCAAGGGATAGCGGTGAAGAGTCCATAGGAATTCCCGGTTCTTCGGGAGACATATAAAACGCTTGTCTGCATAGTGGCAACGCCATCGGCACCGATTTGGTAAGACTCGTGAGATACCGCCCGCGAGGCTGTTACCCGTTTGGGGAATGAGCTTCACAACTAGATCGCCGCTGAGTGGAGACGGCTGGTATTATTGCTATTATTATTATTATTTATGTCGTTGGTTGTTCTCGCCATACCGGCGCAGCCGTACACCATTGTCTGTCTACAGTAGTTCCCCAATAGGGAGCTGCAGGAGTCGGCCAGCCCTGCTCTGTCCACCATATAAGCAGCCCGTGTGACCCTTGCACATCCCCTGTCCTATTCTCTGTGAAAATTCGACTCTACGTAATGAACTACTTCTTGTAATATGGAGGACGTTCTAGGATTCACGGGAGGAGAGATCCTCCACCGCCGTCTCATCGACCACGGTGTGGACCACGTCTGTAAGTGACTTGTTCAAGACATACTGGCCCCTTCTAATTCGCGCCTTAGTTGGACACCCCAAGGCAGGGGCACTAGCATTATTCCGGGATGTTTACAAGTCTCCGGTCATTCGTGTGGTTCCCTCGCGCCATGAACGAGGTGCCGGCCACATGGCGGAGGGCTACGCGAAGGCAACCCGGAGACTAGGCGTAGTCTTCGTGAGCACTGACCCCAGTAGCTCCAACGTCATCAGCCCAATGCTGGATGGCCTTCTGGATGGAACACCGATGGTGGTGATCCGTGGCCAGGTCCCTGCCGCTCACGAAACCAACGCCCCCAAGGAGGGAAAATCCATCGAGCGCGTAGGGGCGTGTATGAAGTGGCGTGCGCGTGTGCAGCGACTGAGCGAGTTGCCTGGTGCGATCGATGCGGTATTCCTTCATGCCACGGGCAAAAAGCCTGGACCGGCCCTTTTGGACATATCCTCTGAAATCGGTGAAGCCTTCTTTGACTCGCAGACCCTACAGGAGTTACCGAGCGTATCGCTGATGGTCGAGAAGGTGCACGGGAAAGCGTGCAGTGCTGTATCGCCCATAGCCGACCCTCGCCATCTGTATGAGAGGATTGTCCATGTAGCCGGCATGGTGAATCAATCCAGACACCCAGTGATCTGTGCCGGAAAGGGGGTCCTCGCTTCAGCGCGGGGGTGTAAGCTATTGTCCAAGATCTCTGAAAAAGCTCAGATTCCCGTGGCCACCACACTGCTCGGTCTGGGCTCCTTCGATGAAACCCGCGAAGAGGCTTTACACATGATCGGAACCCATGGCGCTCCGTATGCTAATTGCGCGATCCAGAATGCCGACCTACTAATTGTGATCGGGGCGAGATTGGACGAGCGCGCAGTGGGCAATGCAGATGGGTTTGCTCCTAAGGCCCTTGACTGGGAGGGCGGGGGAAGAGGCATTGTACATTTCGACATCGATGCCAGTAAACTGGGGAAAGTCATCGAACCTACAGAAATCATTCTCGGCGACCTGTCAGAGACCCTACCCGTGTTACTGTCCCTCTTAACCCCCGTGGGGGATCGTGTCGCATGGCTGGACCAGATCCAGGGTTGGAAACGGCTCTATACCTTTGACGAACCTCTCAGTAAGGCGAAACATCGCCCGCGGCCCCAGCAGGTCATGGCTGAGCTCAACCGCCAAACCACTCCCATGAAGAGCAGCATCACCGTAACCACCAGCGTCGGCCAGAACCAAATGTGGACATCACAACATTTCCGGTGCACTCATCCACATTCCCTGATCACCTCCGGCAGCCTGACCACGATGGGGTTTGGCGTACCAGCGGCGATCGGAGCCAAGCTCGCTCTCCCCGATCAACAAGTCATTGCCGTGGACGGGGATGCTTCGTTTTGCACCACGATGGAAGAGCTCATGACCGCGCTGCTGCATCAAATTCAGATCAAGGTGATCGTGTTCAACAATGGACAACACGGCATTTTGTCTCATCTGGAGAAAGAGTACGGTGCGAAAGCCGGTTGTGATTCCCAAACGGGTCCCGACTTTGATCGCCTCGCCCGGAGCATGGGCTGCCAGGGTCAACGCTGCGACCGGGTCGAAGAACTCCCACACGCTATCTACTGGTTGTTACGCTGTCGCGGGCCGGCATTGCTGGATGTGGCCATCAGCCAGGTTGAAATGGATGCCATCGCACCCAATGGGACGCCGATGGACACGGTGGCATGGACGTGATTCTGATTCTGCACATTAGCTCGAGATTTAATATGTAGTCAGTCCATTGGATACGTCGGGTATCCGAGAATCTTATTTTTTTCATTCCCCACATTGACCGACGTGCATTGCATCGAGGTGACCGTGACCTCGTACAGGGCCACTATACGTAGACTCATCCCTGCATGGAATTTGTCACTATTCCCGCCAGGTGTTCCCACCTGCAACAGTAACCCAACACAGAAGTTACCAAATCTGGTCAGTGAATGGAACAGATCCAACCTAATCTATATCAATCAGATGACGTAGAGCACATAAGGAAGTGAATTGTGGTGCAGGGGGTTACCAATTAAAGCAGGACGCGGAAAGGGAGACGGAAAGTTGAATCGGTGGATAGCCGAGGTTAAACACTTTCGGAAGGAGTCTCAAGTCGACAGGTCACCAGAAGGAATAAGATACATAATCCTGACGTTGTAACACGCCAACCAGTGCCACGGTAACATTCCGCGTGGAGGGAATACTCGTACTGTGTTAGTGACTGGTAATACGACTCGGGGAACAGGGTCCACATTCTCCAGATTCTGCAGATCCGGGGATGAGGTTCCCCACGTTACATGCGGAGAAATGGCGGTGGACGCTGGAGACGTGGGGGGTTCCTTTCAGACAAGTCTTAGGGACATATTTACTGCCATATGTAATTGAAATTCTCTCGAGGAGAGATGGGCCATTTCTCCTTGCTTTCGTGGGACAGGACTACCTCGCTGGATGGAGTTCTCCCCAACTCCATACTTGTCGCGAGCCTGACGCAACTGGTGCATAGATATCCGTGAGATATGGTTCTATCCAGTAAGCCGGATGCGAAGTTTACCGCGATGCATCGGCAGTTGCATTAGTGTACATCCCTTACAATCTGAGAGCGTGCCAGTTGCACATACAAGAACTACTGAGTCACGTGCCTGCGCTGTTGTATATTCGCGATGTACTGAGTAACCTGCCTCGATAGAATGCCACTTCTTAGAACTCCCGTACCTCGTAATAACTCTCTTAAAGAATAGCCAAGCGATCGTCGTCAAGACTACGCTTAGAAATACAATTTCCACAACAGCAAGACAAGAAGATACATAGATATCAACGCTAAACCATATCAAATAGCCATTTACATTACCATAAAGCAAACCATCACAGAAACCACCGGAACTCCTGGCTCGCCGGGCCATCCCTCAACCGCTCGGTGGGCACATCCTGCGCTCTGACCGTGACTCCATCCCGGCGGTCGCGCCTCTTATTATCAAACCACATGTAAGCCCCCAAGCACCCGGCCAATGCGGCCCCGGTGGCCCCAAACGCCCCGACCGTGATCAGCGCCGGCATGTACTTGGGCTTATCCTGGCTGCGGAAGACATTGCTGCTGACCAGACCCATCAGATTGGCCAGCGGCACGCCAATACTAGTAAGTAGCACGCGGCGACCTTCGTGCGCGATGTTATTGTTGTACCATGTACTCAGCAGCACAGACGGGGCGGACGTTCCCCATGTCATCATGAAGGTCGCGAAATAGGCGACGCGGATCTGGGCCTGGACGTCATCGATGGACGCGTAGATCATGAAGCCGGCGAAGGTGAGCAGAAAGCCGAGGACGATGAAAGGCGAGCGGAGACGGACGGCATCGGAGCAGAATGCCAGGATCAGGAGCATGACGGCGCCGGTGACGTTGGGCGCGACAGTGTAGAGGTTCGTCTTGACGGTGCTGTAGCCGAGTCGCTGGACAATCTGGGGCAAGAACAGAGCGACGCCCTGGATGGGGACTCCGAGGCAGATTTCAATCCCGAGAAAGACGTAGGTGCTGAAGTGCTTGAAGATGCCGAGGGCGTCGCGGAGGCGGAATTCTTCGTTGACGACCGCGCTGGAATCGACTTGGATACGATGCAGGGCAAGGGCTTTCTCGTCGTCGGAGAGGAACCTGGCTTGCGATGCGCTGCGGGGCAGATACCAGAATGCGAATATAGAGAAGAGTACCGTTACGCTGCCCTCGATAATGAAGAGATAGCGCCAGTTGGGAATGGAGGAATTTTTGATTTGAAATACGCCGAAGGCGATCAGGCCAGAGAAGGCATTGGCGATATTGGACGCCGCGTAGAAGATCGCTAGTCGTCTGGCAAGCTCACCGCGACGGTAAAAAGTCGTCAGGTAGTAGATCACCAGCGGGAAGAATGCCGCCTCGGACATGCCTAGGAACCACCGCAGTGCGAACATCCCACCGAAGTTCTTGGTCGCAGACGAGAGGAGAGTGAAAGAGCCAAAGCTGAACATGAGAATGGGTAGCACTCTGGCGGGGCTGAATCGTTTGCCCAACATCGCGAACGGCGGCGCGAAAATGACATATGGGACGAAAAAGATGGACAAGAGGAGGTTGTATTCGTTCGGTTTGAAGTTGAGATCTATCAATTAGTTTTAAGACAGCCGGGATTCGAATTGGGCCTTACCTTCACTCATTCCATCGGTTTCGGCATTTCCCAAGTTTCCTTTATCCAAAGCATTGAACAGATCTAATTCATCAGTATGGCGCTTCAGAAAA